GTATGTTAAATCGCATTCACTATTAGTAGATACAGCATCAAATACATTAACAGGAGGTTATACATTAGATGTTGTAGATAGTGCTATTATTAGACAGAATTTAAGAGTAGATAATAATATAGATTTAACAAATAACACAGGAGATATTCAACTACCGACAGCAGGGATAGATATGTTCAGAAATAGTGGAGATGCTAATTATAATTTAAGAGTTAGAGACACACAGGGAGTTTTTGAATTTAGAAACAGAAATTTCAGATGTATGAACCCGAGCAATCCAGCAAATGGAACGGAAATGATTTTACACGACACAGGAGGTGATTATCGTTTAAGAATAGGAAGTCAAACAACAGCAACAGTGGGAATAGGAAGACAGTATAATTTTTCATATCATTTAACAGTAGGCGGTATAAGTAATTTTAATGAGACAAGAGTAGAAAATGACGCAACATTTTTAGGACAACAATTATTAAGCACTGATGGAAGAATATTTCAAAGAGCAGACGTTAACAATTCATTAAATGTCGTATCAACAGAAGAAATCAACTTTTCCTTACAGTCTGATAGAACAACCGACCCTACAACAGGGACTATAGCATTGCAGTTAAATGACACTAACGGAATTACCATTAATAGAGCAGTTACAAATAATCAAACATTCAATAGTATAGGTAATATCGTTGGCGAAGCAGATGTTATTAGTTGGGGGCGTTTTATGTTTCAAAATAGTAGTGAATTAAAGGAAGTTTTGGACACTCAATATAAGTTATATATCAGAAATGGAGACACAGCGGGAGAAATGAATTTAACAATAGGATTGGAATCATCAACGCCAGAAATTCAACTTACAGACGGGAAAGTAACTTTAGTTGGGCAATTAGAAATTACAAATACTGATGTATCAGGACAACAAAGAGTATTAATTAACAATCCAGATAATGACGGATTGATTAGATTAAGTAATAACAATTTATCAAGATTAGACGCAACAAATACAGGCGTTGATGTTTACGGCTTCTTTACTACAACTAATAACGCTGATATTGGAGGAAATTTAACATGCGTTGCTTTAACTGAAACATCAGACTCTAAATTAAAAGAAAATGTTAAGGAAGCAAATATTAAAGAATGTTATAAAGCAGTCAAATATATCAAGCCGAAAACATATAATTTTATCAATGATGAAGACAAAAAAAGTCATATTGGATTTATAGCAGATGATATAAAAGACGCTAAAATGCCCTCTGAATGGGACAACATCGTATATTATAATGATGATGGTATGAAATTATTAGCATATAATAAAACAGCAGTTGTGCTTTGGGGTTGTGTGCAACAATTACAAAAGCAAGTAGAAGATTTAGAAAAGGAAGTTAAGAAACTAAAAGGTGAAGCATCACCAAAAGCAAAGGCAAAAGCAAAAACGAAAAGTAAACATTAAAATCTAAATAATAATATATAATGGTTAATATTGATGAACAAATAGAAAAGAAACTCAATGAACAATTAGAAAAGATAAAGGGAGACTTAATTATATTTAACACTATCCAAGATTTAACAGATAAAATACAAAAGTTAGAAGATGAAATAGAACAGTTGAAAAACAAAAACAAAGGATATTGCGGTACTTCTTCTAAATGCTTACCGTTTAACTGTTGTAGTTTCTCATTATTCTGATGATTAATAATATTATTTTGATATTATTAATCATCTTCATCAGTCCTTAAGACCTTCTCAAATCTGATGTAGAACATGTTATTTGCATCTTTTGCATTCGTGTTTATGTACAAGAAGCTATATGGAGCATCGTTTATCGCCAGTTGGTACATTTCATATAACTGTTGCTTGTTTACCAGCGCGCTATTCTCTTCTAAAAATGCATTGACTTCATTCATGTTCTTGAGTCTGAACACAAACAGCGCAGACGCATTGAGCCTAATTATTGGAGCTAGCACGTTGTACTTCTGAGTGGACAGTATCACTGAAATTGCGTTATGTCTACCTCTTGTGAACAATCCGTGCAAGATACTTGAGTACCTTACAAATTTTGGGTCGTCCGCGAAATCATCAATGACTATTAGTATACTGAATAAATCCTTGTCTTTGTTCTTCTTCTGGAACTCTATTACCTTGTGTTGGGTGTCTATTATTTTCTGTAAGGCAGTTGCGTCGTAATGATTGAAATATATCTGTTCCTTTTCCGAGTCCACTTTCATTACATCCTTTATGTACTTCTTCACTGCGTTCCACGTGTCGTCCACATCTACACTAGGGCTGAATATATAGATTCTCTCAAAGCTATTGCGGTAAATCTTCAATATTAAGTTCTGTATCAAAACTGTTTTACCGCCTGTACTGGAAGCCACAGCCAACATTCTCGCTGGTAAGGATGGCATCATCTCATACTTGCTGTTTTTGAACTGATACTTGGGTATATCAATTGGTTCTACCGTCGGAACATTCTCGTTCATTATTAATATTAGTTAGAAAAATTATATGTTATAATATATGAATTACGGTGATTGCATTGATGTCATTGACAACCTTGAAGAAATAGAACAGATAATAATAACAACGCCTAGATATCGTAGGTGTTGCTACTCGGTGTTGGAAATATGTAAAGGGATTTTGCAATATTTAAAATTAAAGAAAAAATAAATTTCTAACATTTAAAAATATGAGTGATAAAGAGGACAAAGGAAATATTAACATTGAAAAGGGAAGTGTTAATTGCAATTTTTGCAGATGTGGTAAAAAAGTCTTTCATAAAGAAACTAAAACAACGACTGATAAAGACGGTAACGTTGTCGTTAATCAAGTGGAAGATAGGAGTTCGTGGAGAATTGGAAATGGGCGTGGAGCAACACCTGACGGTAATGACGCGTTTAAACAAAACAGTCAGTTAGGTAGTGTTGAAATTTGCGACACAGGTTTTGGAATAGGTCGGAAGCCTACACCCGAAGAAAATCAAGAAAGGATATTTAAATTAGAGACAGATGTAGAAAGAATTGATAAAGATGTATCACAGTTAAAACAAAACAACATGAATTTATTGGATTAATATTTAAAAAATATTTTTCTAATATATATTGACAGTTGTATAGTCGCGAAACCTCGCGAGGCGTCAGCCGACGCGTCGCACAGCCATGCGAGTCTCGTTCCTCGCATCTTTTGATTTCCCCCGGAAAGAAATGAAACAGGATGAACACCCCGAATATGTGCCCATTGCTCCCGTGTGATTGCATAAGTCCCAGACATCGTAAGTGAGCAAGAGAAAGGGAAGTATCTTGGAACACTTACATAATTCGGATATACATAAGATATATCCCTAATTAGTTTGGAATTTAGAATTTTCATAATTCAGTTTATGAAAATTTTAATATAAAAGTTTTATTATAAAAGTTTTTATTTAAAAACTTAATGTATATATAAGTATATGGGTGATAAACCTGACTTCAAGCAAGATGTCATCTTGAGACTGGAGAGGATTGAGAAATTGTTAAATGAAAGGTCTACGAGAAACTTTAACAGAACGCCAGTTGACGCAACGTATGAAAACAAGAAGAATACATATTTGACTAAACTGAATAACAAGGAAATTTTGCAACCAAAACAAACAACCCTTGACTATTACAATATAAAGTATAACGAAGAGACGAAAACCTATTCATAATATTATCATCTAATAATAATGAGTGAATTAGATGATAATATTTCTGTTGAGTTTCCTACAGGTAGTGATTGTAAAACACAGTACATGCAATGTAAAGCATGTAAACAAGTAAAATATGTAGATGAGTTTGTAAGTAAGCATTATATGAGGGTATACAATAAAACATGTAGGGCTTGTTTAAATAATAATGAGAAATCTAGACTTAAAGGGAAGGAATGAGTGCAGGGGGTTTTCTTGGGAAAATATTATTAATACAAAGTTTCAAAAGTTTTAAAGATTAAAATATATAGTAGAGTATATGTTAAAAACGATGCATGATATCGTGACCGGAAAAGACCCGAGTAAAAGCATATACAAAGAAAATACTTCACATATTGAAGCAGAAATGGAAAACTTAAGAAATGAATTTGCAGAAAATCAATATTCATTGCTATTAAAAGTTGAAGCATTGATAAAGGAAATGGAAAAATCAATCAACAAATCTTCAGCAGACGACAAATATATAAAAGACGTCAACCAGAGGAAAAGTTATTTGGAGAAACGTTTAAAAGAATGCCAATTGTTATAAGCAGAACACCAATAATAATCTAATTTCATTATTAAATCATTATTGAAAGAAAACCCCCAACACCCCATACTATGCCCCATAAAATGAACAAACCTAACCTTGCCCATTTCGGGATGTTACATCACCTGATAAATAGGATGAGATAGAGTATTTTAAGGATAATGAGCTACTAGTTGTGATTATATGGCCAATATATGTTCACGGTGATGTAATAACCCAAACTGGCGACCCATTACCTTGTCCATTTTGGATAATTGCACCTTATTTTCTATATGGTAAAGTGTTTTAGGATATTATGGCTATGATCTGGGCCATGGTGGTGCAATTACCCAAACTGGGCAAGGCCTCCCCTGACTTTAATTGGGGGCTTTCCAGTTTACAGCCCATTTCTTTAACCGGCATAATCTTTAAGCTCCAAGCCCCGAACCCCCCCCCCCCCCCCCAAAAAAAAAAAGAAAAAGAAAAAAGAGTTGCAACCCAACAAACTCTAAAACCCCCTAAGACCCTGAACCTCAAACTCCCGTAAGTCGTCTTGCCAGCTGGAGGCGCCCAGCATCGCACGCGTCCTCGCGCGCAGCATCGACTCTTGATGTGGAAGTCATGGATTTCAGGGCACTATTGGGCTTGTGGGGGTTTAGGGGCTGATTGATGGGCACAAATTAAAGAGAGGCTTTGCTACAGCAGCGTCTCTTGACATGTCGGGCTGGGCATTTTTTGAGAAGGTGAGACCTCGAGGGAGCAAGGCCGGTTGTGGTGCCCATGGCGAGGTCGGCTCGATCACGGAGGTTGCCAGCGGAGTAGGGGTCGAAATATTTACTAATCGTACTCCCTTAGGTCCATGTGTAATTAACCCCCAAAACCATCCCAAAACCCTATTCTAATTCTTCGGGCGCCTATGTTAGGACGTCGCACCCTTGCGTGCGGACCCTTCGCAAAAGGCAACTTCTTGCAGCCCCCACCTGCTGAGAGTTTAGCCTCTTGGGGCGGCTTTGGGCTGTTGGGCTTGAGGGCTGCTTACCAGGATGGGCCACTAGGCATTATCATCGCCATAAACCCTAAACCCTAAACCCTAAACCCTAAACCCTAAACCCTAAACCCTAAACCCTAAACCCTAAACCCTAAACCCTAAACCCTAAACCCTAAACCCTAAACCCTAAACCCTAAACCCTAAACCAACCACTCAACCCCTTCAAGGGCTCTAATAGCTCGTCCTGGCAGAGTTGAGGGTTGAGGTTGAGGGCTTTTGTGGGTTAATCTAGGGGTCGGAATAATTACTAATAAGATTCCCTTATGGTCCCTTTGCAATTATACTGTTGTAACCCCCAAGACCAGCCCTAAACCCTAAACCCTATAAACCCTAAGCCCTAAACCCTAAACATTTTGCAAGGCCCTATAAGACATGAGAAGCCCAGGAACTCGTCGGTAAACCGCTCGCAGTCTGGCCTCGGCGACGAGGCCGAGTGCCGAGGGTTCGCGTCTAGGGTTTAGGTTTAGGGTTTAGGGTTTAGGGTTTAGGGTTTAGGGTTTAGGGTTTAGGGTTTAGGGTTTAGGGTTTAGGGTTTAGGGTGTAGGGTTCGGGGTTTAGGGTTTAACCCTCAACCCTAGACCCGTAAAGCATTCGGGTTTAGGGTAGCAGGCTTGTTGCAGGCTTTTGGGTGCTTTTGGGGCTCTTTGGGTCCAAAAGGCCTGGCAGTGTATAGAGTTTAACGAGTAGAGGTCTAGCGTGATTAGGGTTCAGGTTTTGGGTACAGTTTGTGGGCAGAGTTTGTACATGATACACAGCGGTCTGTGTCAAGCTCTCCCGTATGATGGCAGCCCTTAGGATTGAAATACGGCCTCTGTTTTTTGCTGAACATGATGGGCTTTAGGATCCTTGAGGGAGTGTTAGGTTCAGGTAGCAGGTCGAAACCTAAACACTAATCCTGGGTTTTCAGGTTTCCTTAATAGTTCTCTGAACAGCTTCAGGAAACAGCTGTGTACCGACCGACCCGGCTGGCCATCTGGCACTGCACCCAGCTTCGGCTTGTCGGGTTTTGGTTGGGAGGCTTAGTAGGTTGTCATAAAGGGGGGGGGGGGGGTGCTAGAATCCCTATTCATGACTGTTAGTATAAGGGAGAACATCCCAAGGTTTAGGGGTTGATGTTCTTTGGTGGTAAACACCCTCAAAACCCTTGTTGGGAGTGGACAAGGGCCTTAGCCCGTGGCGTTGTTGTATGAAATGCGTTACCTCGACTTACCATGCTATGATGCCAATATGGCACCTGAATAATTTCCAAGCTTATCCCTTCAGACCCTTTTGCAGCTGTGGTATACATAAACGACCCAAATACCCGTTCTCAATAAACCCCCCCCCCCCCCCCTATTATATCCGCCATGCTTCACCTTTGACACTACCCCCCCCCCCCCCCCCCCCACCCACCCACCCACCCCCCAAGTGCTCGACGACCATGAAAGGCCGAAAGACTCATTCCCTGTGAATCATCTCATCCCCTGCAGCTGTATCACCCACTGCCCTCCTTTGCCCTCCTTTATCAAACACCCTAAACTTTACTAAACCCTAAACCCTAAACCCTAAACCCTAAACCCTAAAACCTAAACCCTACTTGGAAGGGTTTCTGCGCCCGAAGCCCTCAAAAGCCCAAGGTCCGAAGAGCTCGGGGCGCGCAAGCGGGCGGTCTGGTGCTCAGTGGCCTGTTTCCCCCGAGGCAGGGAAGCTGGTGAAAGGCGCCGTGGATGACCCCAAAAAATGTGTAATAGTTTTCGGAACCCCACAAAAAAGGGCATCCCTTGTTCTCGGTGAAGACCAGTTCAGGGCTCATTTGGGCTTCTTGTTTTTTTTGGGTGTAGCGTTTACGGCCCCGCCCCCCCCCCCCCCCCCCGGGTGTGGACTCGGGACCTTTGGATCAGTCGTCCAGAACAAGGACATTCCGGTCCAACCAACCCTAAACCCTAAACCCTAAACCCTAAACCCAAACCCTAAACCCTAAACCCCAAACCCCAAACCCTAAACCCTAAACCCTAAACCCTAAACCCTAAACCCTAAACCCTAAACCCTAAACCCAACTCTCAGCTCCGTCCGCAGCCCTCACAAAGAAGAGACCAAGCCCGAGAGTCCCGAGGCTTCGGATTCAGAGGGTCGAGGGTCATGCAGTCAAATTGAGGTTGCGGGGCCTTTAAGCCAGGAAACCACAGCCGCATGAACCCCCACAAATCCTCTTGATTCCCAATCAACACGCTTATAAGCCCTAAACCCTAAACGGCCCCAAACCCCGGAAACCCTGAACCTTAATTACCCCGAGGCTCGAACCGCCCAAGCCTCCCTAAACCCTAAACCCTAAACCCTAAACCCTAAACCCTAAACCCTAAACCCTAAACCCTAAACCCTAAGCCCCACACCCTTTATCCCCCCCTTGCAGATCGCGGAGCCCCTAGGCCCCTAAGGCTCCCACACCCCTAAACGCCGAGCAGCCGCAAACCCTGAACCCTAAACCCTAAACCCTAAACCTTAAACCCTAAACCCTAAACCCTAAGCCCTAAACCCTAAACCCTAAACCCTCCCTTGACTCATATGAAGCGAGTAGTAGACAGATGAAGCCCCTTAAGCCCTACTAAGCCCCGAAACCCCCAAACCCGCGTTTCGCTGACCACCCCCCCCCCACCCCCCCCCCCCCCCCCCCCCCCCCCCCCCCCCCCCCCCCCCCCCCCCCCCACCCCCCCCCCCCCCCCCCCCCCCACAAACCCTAAACCCTAAACCCTAAACCCTAAACCCTAAACCCTAAACCCTAAACCCTAAACCCCCCCAAGGGTGCGGAGATGAGATCGAAGAATGAGCTGGACCTCCAAGTCGGCGGGGGGCCCTTCTGGGACTTTGGGGTGCAGGATTTAGGATTTAGGATTTAGGGTTTAGGGTTTAGGGTTTAGGGTTCAGGGGGAAGTGTACATGTTCTAGGAAGTCGAGAGGAAGGTTAGGTTCGAGGGTGCTGTGCTCAGGATGCAGGTTTTAGGAGTTTTGGGGGTTTAGTGTGCAGGGTGCGGGAGTTTAGTGTTTGTTGGCTGGCACCATTGCGCCCGAACCCCTTGGCCGCCTTGGTTCAAATGAGGTTTTCGGGATCGAGTTTGGGTGAATTGGGAGTGTGAGCGCAACCCTAAACCTCAAACCCCAACCCTGAACCCTAAATCTCCCTAAACCCTAACCCCGTTCTTAGGGTTCGTGTCGTCCCCGAAATTGCTAGGGGTGTGCGGGGCAGGGCAAAGCTTCCGCTAAGCAAAGACCCTTAAGCCAGAAAGGGCTTTGGGTTGTGGATTTTGGGAGGTTTTGGGGTTCGGGGTTTGGAGTGTAGGTCTCGAATTTTTGTGGACGGGGGGAGGGGTTTGGGTGTACATTTTCGACCTGGGTTTGGCAATGTCTTGCTAAGGGTTCAGGTCTGTGGGTTTAGCGACTTTCTCATATCGTTTTTGTTTGTGTGTGTGCGTGACCTGTGTGTGTCACGGTGGGAGAATCTGTGGAGAAGCTTGGGTTCGTAGGTTTCCCCGGCAAAGAGTATCAACTAAGTACGCAATCGAACAGTCCAATAATAATTGAAGACGAATTGCACGACTAATTGAATACAAGCAACATGTGAACTACATAGAACTTTCCATTTCAGCACTGCCGAGGTAAGCACGATTTCATTCAAAACGCTTAATTTATCAAGTAAGAATGCCATAGGAACATCTGCAAATCCAAAAACACAACAGACTTAGGTAGGCTCCGATGTACTACGCTATATGAAGCGCGGCCGTCACACTGCAGAGGGGTGTAGGGCTTTGTTCGTACTTTGCTTGGAACTCTAAAAACGACAAACCAAGCCCCACAAACTTGTTGTGTTGTTTGGTTTGATTTTTTCGGTCTTCTTTGGGGCACAAAGAAAGACGCTGACGACGTTGCTTGGTGTGCAGCTGGGAGACCTAAAACACGGTCACTAGGCGTGGGGAGGGGGGGGGGGGGGGTATACAATCCAGCACTTCATGGGGTTATAGGGTTTAGGGTTTAGGGGTTTTTTGGTAGATCCTTTGGCTTGGGGATTGCTCAGGACCCAAATGCCTGGACGACTACCGCCGGCAGCTGGTGAACATCTCTGGAAGTCTGGCCACGCCCCTAGCAAGAGGTTGCGTTATGCGACATTCCTACTCTGACAATATCCTCGTAGACATGCATACATACAAATATGTATATTGTGTATGTATATGTATATATGAGATGTATATATATATATATATATGTGTCATGGATCCTTTGCGTTCTTTATTTTTGCTTGTGCTGGTGCATGAAGTCAGGCCCTTTGCCAGCAAACTCTACGTACTTGTCAAAGCTGTGGCGAGGTTTAGGGTTTAGGCTTTCGGGTTCGTGTTTAGGTTAGGGTTTCGGGTTTATATATGGTTTAGGGTTTAGGGTTTAGGGAGCTTGGGGGGCTTAGGGAAGGCTAAGCACGAACATGTGTATCGAATGGTGCCACAAATGTTGTCCAGCATCGGGGGCAATTCCCTTTGTGCGTCCCCAATCCCTGCCCTTAGCGCTGTAGGGTGTAGGGTTTACATACCTTCAACCCAAAGCAGGCTGGATCCTGGAGATACCGGATCGACCCGGAATGCCGGCAGCCTCAGGGAGGGGGTTCGGCGAGGGGCGGGGGGGGGGGGGGGGTGAGGCTGGAGGCTTTGGGGTTCTGCAATCCGGGCTCACTTCATTCCTTAAGGCACCGGGCGCCAGTCCTTTATGCAGTTCGTCATGGCGATCGAGCGGACGGGAGGGTGACCCAGCTTCTTGTGATTGAGGAGCAGCCGTGAGGATTCAGGAATTTTTGGGTTCAGAGGGTTTCGAGTCCTGTCATAATGTACTCCATGGCGCTGCCGCATTGTTTGTCATCGCATGGCCATGTGCTGTGAGCGACTTGGAGCACCCAGAACTACAGGCCCTTCCTGGTGCCCTACACCAACAATATTTCACAACCGGCCAGCCCGGGCCGCACACCCGCCCAAGAGTTGCTGATGCCCCAAAGCCCTTCACCCAAAGCCCTTAACCCTTGACCATGAAGCCTCAACCCCAAAACAAGTGGAGATCTGAAGGGAACTCTTTGTGCCCGCCTCAAGCCTTTGTTGCGAAGGGAAGCGCCGACCCTTAAACTACAAGAAGCCCTTCGTGCTAACACCAAACCCTAAAACCCCAAGCCCTGAAGCCCAAGCCCCCAACCCACACCCCACACCCCCCAACCCCCCCCAACCACCCCAACCCCCCAAACCCCCCCAACCCCCCCACCCCCCCCACCCCCCCCACCCCCCCCACCCCCCCCAACCCCCCCCCCCCCGTGTGCTGCTGGGCGTCTGTTTGTCCAGGTACTCTGGCAGCGTCAAGCAGCTCTGGGAGGAGATCTCGGGGGACAAGGACGAGTTCACCTTCCAGGAGTGGACAAGTGGGTTGGGTGGGGCGGCTGTGTGTTTTGGAGCAGTTAAGGGGGGTTCATGGGGCTTACATGGGGCTTCTCGGATTTGAGTGTTTTTTGTTTTTGCCGGGGGGGGGGGGGGGGGAGGATAGGTCAACCCTGAAGCCTCATGAACCCTCAGCTCTGGACGGGGGGTTAGGCCATCTCGGTTTGGGGATTCATTGCAGGATTGAAGCCGCTTGTTGTTAGTAGCCAGCCAGAGTTTGGAAACTGCTCAGCCTTCCTCGAGTTGCTGCTTCTGGGAATTTATCGGGTTTAGGGTTTCGAGTTCGGGTGTGGAGTTTGGGGTTTAGGGTGTCGGGTTCGGAGTTGCGGGGGAAGCGTTGTGGGTTCAGACTTTACGGTCTAGGGCGAATGCCCCTGCCTACTGTGCTCTGGTGCACCAAGCATCAGGATTTGGATCCGGAAGGTTTCGAGATTCTGCAGGCACGGCTCTTTCAGCATGTGTAGGTCTGAGAGCTCCAGTGTCTTTGGGCTTGCGTGAGATGTAGGTTTTTGTGTCATTAATGCCTGGAGTCATCGCTATACCGCAGTGCCGAGGGCACAGCTCCCTTTCGAACTTATTCGTGGGATACCTTCTGAAACCCCGAACCTTGAATCTTCTGTGAGGGACTACAGCTTCCTGAGCAATCATCGAGTCGTGATTATGAAGTTGTAGAATACAGGCTTTCGGGTTTGGGGTTCTGTTCTTCTTCTGGATCGCTTGGCAGAGCGCACCCCAATCGCGTTTTCTATTTTGGCTCTGGATGCTCTTCGTTTCACCTTTTGCTGGTCCAGAGTAGGCTGTATGTGGGCCGTCTGGGCTTTGTGGAGATGGGGATGTAATATAGGGACCTTGATGATAGAATAGGGTTTCGGGAGGTTATGATGGTGCATTCATAAAGGGACCACAAGGGAGCACTGAGGACTCGAATCCCCACTCTTGGATACAGGTTGGGGGTGTTGAAAGGCTTTGGGCTCTCGACCAGGCGCCGAGCCTCAGTGTAGGGTTTAGGCTTTGGGGTCTAGATTGGTTTAGGGTTTAGGGTTTAGGGTTTGGGGTTTAGGGGCTCCCTAACCCCCAAGTTGCCCCAGGCCCTACACTCTGAATCATCAGTTCTAACTGAAACCCTCTGAAAACCCGTAGCCCTAAGCCCGAAATCCCTGAAGCCTGAACTCGAACCGCGAGAATCCTGAGAACCTTCATTGAGGCATTTGGGGCTTCCCTGCTCAACAGCTACGACACCTTCGGAGGCGGCCTTCAGGGGCGTAGGGAAAACCAGAAAGAACCCTTCAGGGAGGCCACAGGGAAGTCGCGAGGGCCGGTCTAAGGATGCACAACCAAATCTTTGTGTACATAGGTTGACATACATATGTGGGTAGTTTCCAAGCTTGGGTCCCGTTTTGGGTATCCATTGTAAAGCGGCACCATTTAGAAATGGATCCCCAAAACGGACCCTAATGTAGAGAACTACCCATGTACATATTATGTACACATGTATATATACATAAAGAGACATCACTGTATATGCCTTGTCGAGTCCCCAAGAATGGAAGGGTTCCTTGTTTTCCTGTAGAGGCACGGCCCAAGTGTTTCCTTCAATTTTAGTAGGTCCAAAAGCTTCAGTGTTCAGGCTGTGGGGACCTTTCCTAGTCCAAAGCTGACTGGCTGAGACTGTAGCCCTTTAACGTTTTCGGGGCAGTAGACTCCCTATGGAGTCCAGTTCTCGGGACAAGCAACAAGCAGCGCGCACGTAAGAGCAGGTGGGGCTTAAGGCCTGTCGGCTCCGAGGTGCGCTGGTTAGGACGTATGCCCGAAGCACCCAGTTCCTCAACCCTGGTCACAGTGGCTTCGCAGCCCTGCAACGCACTTGGTCGCACATTCTGGCTCTGCATCGAGATTCATGAGGCTATGGGTTTAGGGTTTAGGGTTTAGGGTTTAGGGTTTAGGGTTTAGGGTTTAGGGTTTAGGGTCTAGGGTTTAGGGTTTAGGGTTTAGGTAAGCCATGGTGCCTCGGCAAAATCGCCATTCCCCAGCCTTGCCCTTCGCCCTACTCCCGATCCTTTCAACCCCATCTTATGTGGGTGGCTGTCAAAATTATGGTCCCTTTTTGGGTCCCTATTATAATACGGCACCTAATATTTAGGGTACCCCAAAAAGGGATCATAATTTTGACGACCACCCATGTAGGTTGAGGTCTTTTTGGGCTTACGGGAAGACTGCTCCAGACTCAGCCTTGAACCCCAAGCCCAGCCCTAAGCTTAAAGAAACCTGAAGAATAAGCCTTGATTGCCTCAGACTTCTGGAAGAGCTTGCAGAAGTTCAAGGATGAGCAGCTGGATGAGGTGGGCTTCGGGTAGTCTTAGACATGCGAGCGCTTAGTCGTCCAGAGGCGTAAGGTTTTGGGATGGTTTAATGATTGCAACCGACTCTGAAGGTCCGCTGTTGTAGATGTTTGGGGTCTCGCAATCGTTTTTCGATTCGCTTTGGTGTGCGCGAGTTCCCAGAGTCCCAGGCCTTTCAGTTTCTGAACCCCCATGCATCCATCGAACACTCCCGAGCTTCAAAACCCAGTTCGGAACCCTAAACCCTAAACCCTAAACCCCAAACCCCAAACCCTAAACCCTAAACCCTAAACCCTAAACCCTAAACCCAACAAACATGTTGGCCTTGCCTACGGAACCAGGAGACATTCATCGCACGGAGTGTGGACAGCGGCATCGAGGGCCTGTCAAAGCGGGAGCTGAAGAGGAGACCTAGAAGTTTCCGGGTTGGTTCGGACCGTGTTGCACGCAAAGGGTGGTTCCCGGTGGCTATAGGCTTGCGGCAAAAATCGCACAGCCCAGGCCGAAGCCCTTTTGCATTGGAAACAGCATGAGACCACTCACACGAGGCGCTTTCATGCGTTTCGCCCTCCCGTGGCTTAGGATCTTTTAGAATTACAGGGTTCGGGGTTCTAGTGCTTCGGATACTTCACTGTTCTAAAGCTACCAACTTCCTAAACCCCTAAAACCCTAAACCCTAAACCCCAATACAATACCCCGGAGGATATTCAAGATGTTCCTGCCAGAGCCCAGCACGGGCCGGACCAAGTTGATCCAGAGCGACCTCGAGGCGACCCGACACACCCCAAATTGTGGGTTTTTGCTTTCAGGATTTCAGGCTGCGATGTTCCCCCTTATGCTAACAGTCCTTAAGAACTCATAGGGATTATAGTACCCCTTGTTAGAATCCCTATTGCGGACTGTTAGTAGAACTTAGGGTTAAGTTAGCAGCTTACCGGTCCCAACAAGAACCTCGCATGTAACGAAGCAGGGCTTGTGATAGTCATTTGGGTCACGGTGGTGCCCAAGAGACAAGCCAACCCCAGCCGACATCTAGAAAGATGGAAAAGGATCCCGCGGCTTTGGGGCATATAGGGTTTAGGGTTTAGGGTTTAGGGTTTACTTGGAGGTTCATGGTACTTACTAACCACTTATAGCTGGGCTTATAACCCTACTTATAATTGGGATAACCCCTATAAGGCCTTTTAGGGGTACTATAAGTAGGGTTATAAGTACAGTTATAATTGGTTAGTAAGTACCGTGAACCTTTAAGTAGGGTTTAGGGTTTAGGGTTTAGGGGTCGAGCCTTTGGCTGGGTGCTCAGCTACAGTCAATCGAGGGTTGAGGGTTATCAAGGTTCAGGGTCGTTAGGGGGTTGAGGGTTTAGGCATCAGATCGTTGTTGCCTTTGAGGGGTTTAAGGGTGCTGTTGGGTTCAGGGTTTAGGGAGAGTTGAAGGTTGGCAGGGAGAGGCCGAAGGGTTGTGGTGTTCACGTAGATGGGGGCATGAAGTCCAGCCACAAAGTAGCATCCTACAGATTTTTTGCCCTCCCAGCGGAGAAGCAACCTGCGATCGATTATTTCAGCAAGCGCGGCATATCTTGCCTTGCGTCGTGTTCGCCATGCTTGTAGGGCCTTGGAGAACCACCGAGGGCAAAGATACAAGGACTTCATACATCTGCTCAAGCACACCTTTGTGAGAAAAAAAAACAGCACCCAGAGCTATCGCCGCTGTAGAAGTGATACAGGTGTGCGTTTCAGGGTCGAAGAAGTTGAAACTCGGAAGGCGTAGCCTGTGATTGCATGTGTTGGACAAAGGGAGCTGACAAACCCCTAGCAAGGCCCTTTGGCTTGAACTGGCTTTGGCAGCCCCGGACCCTAAGGCCCTGAGCCCTAAAACCCGGCAAGGTTCTCAGGGCAATTGTCTGTGGTCAGGTCATCAAGATCGCGCTGTCCGCAGAGCAAAAGTCTGCTCTCAGGTGCCCACCTGAGAGGGCATGGCAGCTTTCTGTTTCTGAACGTGAGTTTGCGACTGCGGCTGGTATGTTGGAGCTTGGCGTTCCGGTCAAGGGTTAGGGTTCAGGGTTTAGGGCGTGGGGATTAATCAACTTAGGGGGTCTAGGTCTAGGTTTTCGGCTCGTCAGCTGCCACCAATTATGAGCAGATATCAGCTGGCAGCGGTGGCCCAGCATGGCTGTTGCATGCTGTTGCTGATGTTGCTACTTGTGGCGATCATCCACTTTGAATGCGCACCTAGCTCTCTTAAGCAACGCAGAATCCGAAGCCTTGCGCTGGATAAACCCTGTACCTATACATCCTGCAAGCCCCCAACGAGCCCTGCACCCATAAACCCTAACCCCTAAACCCTAAACCCTGAACCCTTGAGCCCCCTGAAGCCCTGAGCAAACCGGAGCAGGCACAGCACGACCCAGAAGAGCCTCGAGCTTGCCAGATCCCGAGAACTTTGGGTTTAGGGTTTAGGGTTTTGGTGGGCCCTCTGTGTGCGTGACAAGGCTGGATGTGTTTGGCTTGCAGGTGTTGGGGGGTTGTGGAAGGTCTCTTGGCTAGGGTTTTAAAGTGGTTCTACCTCACCCCACCCATAGGATTTGGGGTGGTTTGCATGGGCCCGGATCCTCAAATAGAGAGATGCAGTAGCATGTTGCGTGTAAGTCTGCCGGATACTGCAGAAGCCTAAGGAACTGCTAATACAGTAGCCGTTAGAATCCACGACTGATGCCACTTTGCTGCCCAAAAGTGCCCTTGCTAGTCAAAGTAAAGTAGCTAAACCCTAAACCCTAAACCCTAAACCCTAAACCCCTAAACCCTCCCTTGTCAAGGAAACCCCACGGACCCCGATGCGGCCGTCGTCGCCGTCGCCTGGCTTGGCCCCGCCATCGTCGCCGAAGTCGCCCTCGCGGTCCCCGTCGCACTCTCGCGTGAGGCCGGGGCTTGGTTTAGGGTTATAAGGATGTTTAGGGTTTAGGGTTTAGAGTTTAGAGCATTTGTGGATCCCAAGCATATGGTGGCTTCCGCAAATTGGGGGTACCTTGTTGGGGTCCTTATGATAAGGGAATCCGATCATTTGGGGGTCTATTGTAGGGCCCCTAATTTCGTAAACCCCCATATGGCAGCCCTGAAGTCCAGACACTTCTCCAACTGGCTGCAGGATTTTGGGGCTTATTTGGGGTTTAGGAGAAGTAAGGAAGTAAGGAACGAGGTTCCTTGGAGATCTCATTGAAGAGGTTGTAAAGGGAGATGGCAGGTAGTTCGCATATTCACCAACCAGGAACCGTTGTTCAACTATGAGTCCCAACCGACTGACCTTAAGAAGTGCCGAACTAAAGCAAGAAGCCCGAAGTGTACTAAATGTACATATGAGGCGAGGGTTGCCTTGAAGGTCCTTCAAAAAAGGAATGGACCATTGGGAAAAAGAGTCCCTCCAAAGAGGAAGCCTTATTTAAACGGGAACCTACCCCATTGTAGTCTTGGGGGCAGGTGTTTTGACTTGGTAGCCCAGTGGTACCCTTTCTTTTACCTTGTTTGGTTCTGGGTTCCCTTATCAAGTAGTCAACCCGCAAAAAGGGTGCCCTTATCACAATTTGGTTACTGGGCTACCAAGTTGAAGAACATAACCTCTATGTCAGGTCCTCACCGGAGCTTCCCGTCATATCCGTCGAGGCACCGGCAGGGGCTATGTTAAGGTGCCTTCTGTGAGGAGTAAATTGAGATCGGAGACCCCAAGAGGGCGAATACTTGTGAGCAAATCCTAAGGTACGGCTTGAGTTGGTTTGGGACTTGGGGTGGCCAGGTGAAGGGTGGTGGTTCAATTTCAGGGTGCAGGATTTCGGATGTCGGGGAGTGAGAGTGGGAGTGGGAGTGGGAGTGGGAGTGGGAGTGGGAGTGAGAGCAAGGAGAGTGAGAGCGAGAGAGTGAGAGAGTGAGAGAGTTGAGAGAGAGACAGCGAGATGGAGCGAGAGAGAAAGAGAGACAGAGAAGAACAAAAGAGACAAAAACAACACTAGCCAGAGCTGCAGCGGCTCCACGCGCATCCTATCCGCTGCAGACTCACTTCGGCACGCCAAGCTCGAGCTCGGAACCTAAAGCTCTACTATATCCTCAACTCCAAATCTTAAGCCCCAAGCCCCAAAACCCTAAAGTACCCCGAGCCCTACACTCCAGGAGTTCCGGCGGCTACTGAAGCGCCTCTACGGCAGCGTCCACGCTGGTTGGGTGAAGTACCTGGACGTGACCGAGGTGGGGGGGGCTTTAAGGGCTTTGGGGTTTCAGGGTCTATAGGGTTTAGGGTATCAGTATCAGTATCAGGGTTCACTTCTCTGCGCGGGGTTAGGGAAGCTTAGCCTTTAAGCCCCAGAAGGGCTTCAAGATTGAAAGGGTTGGGGTGGTTTCAGAGGGCTCTGGTTGGGATGCTCCCCCTTGTACTAGCAGTCCTGTACAGGGATGATAATAGGGGCTGCTAGAATATCTATAAAGGACTGTTAGTATAAGGGGGAACATCCCAAGGCTCTGGTTTTGAGTGCATGTTTCAGGGTGGAGATTTCGCGGTTTACGGGGTCTTTTTGGTCTTTGTGTGGGGGTGCCCCCCACATACTTGGAAACCCTAAACCCTAAACTTGCCCTAAACCCTAACCTTGCCTGAAGCGTTTGGAATACTGGAAAAGCTTCTGGTGACATCTTCGGGTGGGAACCCCCCAGGGCTCGCTCGATCCAGACCCCCCCTCCGCAGTTCGGCAACCTCTTCAAACTACACCTGACACAACCAAGTTAAGCTTTTCAACCCTAATTCCCAAAACTAACCCTAAACCTTAAACCCCAAACCCTGAACCCTAAACCTTAAACGTGCAGCTCTAGTTCTCAAACTTGGAGGCTGGGCGGGTGCCCAAGGGCGAATTCGTCAACCGCGCGCGGGCGATCGGAGTCACGGGTCCTTGGGCAAAGTTTGTTGTGCCTGGCTGCATGACGGGGTTAGGACGCTAGGCTTTAACCTGCACCCCTCAAGACGACCTTCTTAGGTGGGTTCTGAGCTCAAACTTTACAGAGGCTTCAAACCCCAAGCCCGAAACCCCAAAAACTCTAAACTCCATTATGTGGGTGCGACTTGTTTAATCCCTAAATTCGGGACTCTACGAGCGGTATAGGGCATTGGGAATTGAATCGTCTATGCGGCCAGCACTCCTTGTCGTCTAGTCCTTAGTCACATGCGTATCTTATTCGTTTTCCCTAAGGGTCCATGTACCCATATAGTGTATACTTGGGCCCTAAAGGTACTCTATGGGAACCCCTTCAATGCCTCTACGTATATTACTATCTGGGTACATGGACCCTTTGGGTTTTGCACAGAATTCAACAACAAACTGTAGACATCGAGGAAGATGAGGGGTTGCTAGTGATTGCCAGTGTCATTGCTTCTGGTGCCTGCTGCCAGGACATGTGGCAGAGCTGTTCGCCGCCTTCGATGTAGACAACAAGGGCTTTATTACCCTCAAGGACTGAAGGGACTTCCTTATCTGATGACCAAAACCCTGAACCTTTTGTAAGCCCTATACTCAAATCCTAAACCCCGAACACAAAACCCGGTCCCAGTACCAAACCCTAATAGAAGCCCCCCCGTCATCAAACCCCTGTGCATGGCCGATGAGGCTCAATCCATGCGACACACCGCTGTACGAGCGCAGGACCTTGACCCCCAGGTGTCCAAGGTGATGAAGAACTTCTTCAGATGCGTGGAGGTCAAGTTTGGGTTCTGGGAGGGGGGGGGGGGGGGGGGGGGAATTCTTAGTGTTCAGGGTTTTGTGCTTAGAGTCGATCGGCGCGGGATCCATCACCTTTCCGCTTGGGGGGGTTTAGGGCACGGACACCTCAAAGGCATGCCACGACGTCATGGAAAATCTGCAGTGCTCTCATCCCTGACAGCGCCTCAGCCACCGACCCCAAAGCATGCTCCAGCACCCGCAGGGCGGCAAGAAGTCAGCGTGATCCCATGAATCATGAGCTTCAGAAGTCCGGGCACAAACCACCCCCCCTCCCTCCCACCTAAAAATCAAATTACCCCTAAAACTGGGCACGCATTAATGTTGTCCGTAGTAGAGGGTATATGACCACAGCCCGTTGTAGGGTGCTTATTCACCTTAAGGGTCCATGTACCCACATAGTATATACTTGGGCCCTAAAGCTATTCTATGGGAACCCTTTAAGGCCTCTACGTATATACTAGATGGGTACATGGACCCTTTGGGTAACTGCAGCCAAAAGACGCAGGACACCTATGGCTCCATTGAAGAAGCCTGGCCGAAAGCCTTCGACGTGCTCCCGGCCCGTTTGCTGCGCCACGCGATGGCCCTGGTGAGAGCAACCCATGGCACCAAATGAACTCTGAAATTAGGGACCCTAAGCCCTCAACCCTAAACCCTAAACCCTAAACCCTAAACCCTAAACCCTAAACCCTAAACCCTAAACCCTAAACCCTAAACCCTAAACCCTAAACCCTAGGCTGCTATCATTCCTATGAAGGTATCGTTTGGTTCCCAAGGACCAGCCGCACCCAGGGCGGGGTTTCGGGGGCTTGGGGTTTAGGGTTTAGGGCGAACTCTCGACCCTTACATACGACGCAAGATCCAAGGAAATGCAGCTCATGAGGGTACATTCTGGTTTTAGGTTTGAGGGTTTGTCCGAGTTCAGTTCACGACCTTTCGAGAGGAGAGTTCTGCGGATGGTGCCTTCACTTTTGGCTACCCCTTCTATATACATATATACATATTTTTATTTTCACATTGTTAGTATACGGCTCCGTCTGTTTCCTTTGTATTAAATTATATAGATAGATAGATGTAGCCATTTAGGATATTTATGTACATGTACATAAGGCTCCTTATTCTATAGTTCTTGGGGGAGCCCCAAAACAGACCCTAAGCTCGGGAACCTCGCATACGCAAATAGTTGAACTCGAAGCTTTCTTGGGCTTCTTCCTTTGCCTCCCTTGATCAGAAAAATAGCAAAGTACAGGGCGGAGGCCGAAAGGACTTTGAGGTGAGGGCTTTATTCCCCAGACAGTCTACTGTTGTGGTTCTAAATTCATTTAAGGATTGCCGACATTCTGAGCTCCTTGTCTCCCTTTGTCTCCCTTGGTCTCCCTTGTCTCCCTTCATCTGGGTGGCTCTTGCCGTGTTGCCGGGTTGCTGTACTCCTCTCTTCCCTTTGTCTCCCTTCGTCTCCCTTTGTCTCCCGTCGTCTCCACTGCTTCCTTGACGTGCCTTTGGCTGTTTGGGGTCTTCGGTGGTGCAATTCAAGGGTTTAGTGCTCAGGGTTTAGGATTCTGCGGTATAGGGTTCCAGTGTTCTGGGGATAGCTGAAGAGCCTCTCCTTGCTGGGTCTGACGAGGATAAGTCTGAGTTCTAAAGCCAGTGCCAAGTTCACAAATACGTGGAGATGACTCCATTCGTCCGCATCACCCCCTGACCTCCGAAGACCCTAGGGCTTCAGGGCTTCAGGGTCTTGGGGTTGGATGGTTTGAATATCCTAAACCTTCGGCTTCCTTCGCACCAAAGACTCCTGGCACTGCTGCGGCAGGTCTCCAAGAGAAGAGTCGTGGGCAAAACGGAGTTTGCCAAGGGCTGCGAGGCGATTGGCTACGAAGGCCAGGATCGGGCTTGTAGGTGTTGAGGGTTTAGGGTTTAGGGTTTAGGGTCTTTTTGGGATAGGGTTAGGGGATGGGGGTTTGGGGTTTTGGGGGGTTTTGGGGTTTAGGGCTTTATGCTTACAGACCTCGCATCAGCTATACGTACTCCTCGCACCACTTTAACAAGATAGGGCTGCAAGCCCCTGAAGCCCAAACTATCCAAAACCCTTGAGGTGAGTTTGTGTTTAGGGGAACATTCAAGCCCTCATTATTACCTATAATTACACCAGTTTTCTTATAGGGCTCCATATTGTTGATGCTTGGCCGAAACCACTGGAATAGGGTGGGCTTAGGGTGTATCAGGGCGAGGGCTTGGGGTTTGGATGTTTCGGAGCACGACCAACATCGCAGCTATAGAAGCTCTGGAACCCGAAGTTTGACGTGCATCAAAGCAAACGGTTTAGAGCTCAGAAAGGTTTAGGGTTTAGGGTGTAGGGTTTAGGGTTGTAGGGTTGTAGGGTTTTAGGGTTTTAGGGCTTAGGGTTTAGGGTTCATAGAATTGAAAACCCCAAGCTTCAACGAGGTGACCCCATGAAGCTCTTCGCGCTGCTCCAACCCGAGACGGGCCGCACGCAGCGAGCCCGGCGACGGAAGGGGCTTTACTATAGGGGCCTGAAGAATTAGAATAGTTTTTTTTTTTTTTTTTTTTTTTGGGGGGGGGGGGGTTATCATAGTATAATGATAAAGGGACTCTAAGGGAATACCATTAGTAGTTACGTGCGACTTCTGCAGATTGCGAGGGAGCTGAGATCCGGGGCAAACCCTAAACCCTAGATCTTCGCACAGCCTTTCTACCTGCACAGGGATTTGGCAGGTGCGAGGCATGTTTTTTGCATGGACTCTTGGAGAGTTCTTGAGACATGGATGGAAGACCCTCCCAAGAACTGTGATCCAAGCAGGCGAAGCCTTCTAAATATGAATGATTGAATGCCCTCAAGCCATGTCAAGCCTATACGGCCAGGAAACCATATTACGCCCTGTCATCGTAATCCATATTTCAAACCCTACAAGCCCCGTAAGCCCTGTAAACTCTACAAGCCCTTTATCAACCCCTGTATGAAAAAATGGCATAGAAACAACGCGAAGAACCCTGATAAACAGGCTTGTGAACAACTCTTAACCTCCCTATAAAACCTTGTAATCCCCAAGCTAAACCAAAAATCCTGGACCTAGAAACCCCAAACCTTCGAAGGTTCCTAGAGCTCGCGGACTTGGGTCGTCATGCAGCGGAGTCGGTCAAGGCCCACGAGGACCGAGGGCTTTTTGTTGGGAGTTGCTTAGGGATTTTCGGGTCTTTAAGGCTTTTGGGCTTGTTAGCTTTTTAGGGCAGGGCTTCGGGATTTTAGGGCTTTCTTTTGGAATCTAAGGCTTTATGGGTTTTTTAAGGCTTTCTTTGGGGAGATGAAATCTTTGGGGGGGTTCAACGGTTTTGAGAGGTTCTACCAGGCGTTTCGGTTCCGGGAGTTTGGGATGCGCCTGGAGCATGGGACTCACCATCCTGACCCGAGCTGCCGTCAATCACTGACGGAGTGCTCCAAGCAAAAGCGATGCAAAGCCTAAACCCTAAACCCTAAGCCTAGAATTTTCGCCTTGCGTCCTTGGCGCGGACAGACCTCTCGAGACACCATGACTGGAGGAATGTACACAGGCAGTCCTCAGATCGCTATGGCAGGAGCATACCTGGGCGAGTCATACCGATCATGATGGGTGGGGTACGGAAATCTTCGTGCAACGAATCCCGGATGAACGCACGGTCGTATTTGGCATGTCCGATTCGGAGCCTCAATCAGACATTGCCGCAAACTTTGTTTGCCACAGTGGGACTTGGACGCTGGATTGCTATGAAGCCCGTTTAGATCGTGGAAGCTCTTCCTTCCGTGAGCAGAGGGCTCGTCATGCGATGACGCATGGTGTGACAAAGGCCAGAAAACAGCCGGAATGGCCATGCTTGTCTCCTTTTGGTTGTTCGTCGGCAGACCCTCACAAATACTGAGTGCGCAGCAGCCTGTGAGAACTGCTTCCCGATAAGGGTTTTTTTGAATGAGGTGGGCACGGAATGCACGGGTGGATGGAGCTTCATGATGGGGAGGCTTCTTGGTTGGAGGGTATTTCAAGCCTTTCGGGAGGAGTAACCGTTGAGTAATTGCAGGTTTTGGCTACGGCGCAGCTTTGCTTCGTCCTTGCGTGTAGTACTCTGATTAGCGTTCAATACAGGCATTTCACAGTTGACATAGCTTAGGGAAGCATGTAACAACTTAGGGGCTACGGGTTTAATGTACCCTGCTACCCTGCTACCCTAAACCCTAAACCCTAAACTTCCCGATTAAGAGCTGCTCGAGGCCAGCTAGCCTCTCGTCGGGTAAGGGCGCCTCCCCCCAAAAGTCCGCAGCCCTGAGCCCTTTAGGGTTTATGGTGCAAGGCTTCGGGTACCCTTTTGTAATTCTAAGCTGGTTTAGGGTTTAGGGTCTAGGGTTTATAGGGTTTAGGACCATGGCTCTTGCATCTCGCAGGACAAGTAGAGATGAGCTTTCTGGCTCCTCGTTGCGTCTTCCCATGCTGGACTTTGCCGCTCGGGGCGCGGCAAGACCAAGCCACAAGCCCGTTTCAGTTTCAACCCCGCCGGGGGAGGTAAAGGCCCTGAACCCTCAATGCCTGACAATGCCTGAAGACCCTTAAAGCCCTTAAAACCCTTAAAGCCCTGAAGCCCTAAGCCCAAGTCCATAGAGCTGACAGCCCTAAGCGCTCAACGCTGACGCCGTAGTCTACAAACAACCTATGCATGCTCATTCGAAAGCCACGAGTTGCGGGATGTTTAAACGGCTACTTTTTAGGGCTTGGGGTTTCGGGCTTAGGGTTTAGGGTTGAGGCTTCCAAAGCCCCTCGACCCCAAGAGAAAAGCTCATAAAACCTTGAAGCCCCAAGCCCCTATAAGCCTCGACCTCCCCCAGGCCACGTCTCTTTCGAGGAGTCCATTCCCTGCTTCCTCGAAGCCTGGAAGCAACACATGTAGAGCTCCAGTGCAACTTAACAGGGTTAAGGGTTAGGGTTAAGGGTTTTTTAGAAGTCTCCAAGTAGCACATGGCTTCCAGATAGTGAAGACCGAAGCCCAAAAACCCTGAAGCTAGGGGCTGTTTACGCCCGCCGTCGACCCTAAAACATATCAGAGAACAAAAGCACATCCATGGTTCTCAGCTTTTGTCTGGAGCCGTTTGAGACAGGGCCTGAAGAAGGAGTGCTCAGCAGAGTAGGACAACGATGGATCTAGCGTACACGTCGCATCGAATCTAGCAAGCCAGTACGCTCTGTACTCCTTCTTTTCGCCAACCTTCCGCAGGTTCGCGGGTTAGATCCAACTCAGTCCGTACAAGCCGCCGCGCGGAAAGTTTTTCCACCCCATGCCCCGCGTGGTCGAAAGGCAGCAGCCTTCTCTCTTGGACCACTCACAGCCCAAGGCTATGAGTGTGCCTTGAGAGAGGAAGGCCAGTAGACATGTATATATCGGAGCAGGATGCGGGCTGCACGATTGGGCTTGGTACATCTTCAACCACACTTCCCCACCCCTCGACGTGCGGAGAGCTGACGCCTCACAGGTGTGTACACCTCAACCCCAAACCCGAAACCCCGTAGATCTTTATACACATGTACATCCATACAACACATATACATATACATACATATACAGATATATATATATATGCACACATATATATATATACATATTGATGCACAGATGTATGTGTTTAGGCTTTAGGGTGTTTAGGGCATCCATTGCCAGCATGGGCAGAAGAAGCGTGGAGATCCGAGTGGAGTAAACGCCGAAGACCTGTGCTTCCATTCTCCGGCAACCCCCCCCCCCCCCCCCCCAAACCTCTCCACGCAACTCGCGGAAGCCCCCGTCCCAGAAACCTCAATCCCGAACCTAAGTACCCTAATCAAAGTTCCGAACCTTTAAACTCAACACATTCTTCCAAAAGTTCTGGCCCTTCGAAGGGGCGATGGGAATAGGTCAGAGGCTTTGTAATTCAAGTCGGAGGGCGGGGACACCGGGTTTTGGCCATAGGGACTGGAAGCCTCCTCCTGCTTAGTTCTGTGAGTTGTGGCTGTTTAGGGCTGAGCAGCAGGGCCCACATGAAGAGGGCCCCCGAAGTTAGGAAACCTTATGTGACACTGGACCTGACGGGGGGGTGCTGCGGGGGGTTGTAAAGCCGTAGGTGTGTAGGTGTATTCCCAAAAGGGAGGGTGCTCCTCGGCCCCTCATAATTAGACCTCGGTCTTGGGAAAGCTCCCATCTGGTCACCTTCTCTGAATGATTTTACTTTTGGATCCCTGTTATGACACAGAGCCTCGTACTTAAAGCACCCTAAGGTCAAAAGCCCCAGGCTTCAAGGCTTCAGGGTACGATTCAAGCCAGCACTCGGAGCCAACTGCCCGAATCAAACCCGAAGTAGAGGTCCTCTTCATCTTCTTCACACGGGCTTCGACGATGTTGGACTCCCTGAGCCCCCCCCAAGGTTTGGGCCCCAAACCCTCTTAGGGTTTAGGGTTTTAGGGTTCTAGGGTTTAGGGTTCAGGGTTCAGGGTTTACGGGCTTCTGGAGGCGTTTCAGAATCCCAAGCCCGAAGCCCCAAACCCTAAGAGCTTCTAGAAGCCTTTCGTTTTGGTGCAGAAGCTTCTTGCGAGCCTGCCTTTGTCACACTTTCTTGGCTTGCATGAAAGTCTGTGGCTCCATCGCCGTCAGTAGGACAATCATGGGCTTAAACTGTATAGGGTTTAGGGTTTGGGGTTAAGGGTTCAGAATTTTGGGCTTATGGTTTGGCCATATGCAGCTCGAACGGGAGCTTGTCAAGCGAACGCTGTTCACCTACAGTGGAGGGACCCCCCACCCACCCAGCCCTGTAGCGACCTGAGCTCCTCTAGAGCCCAAAGCCAACAAACATGGATTGACCCAAAGGGACGATGTTTGTGACATGCCGGTAATAGCCACACTTCTAATCCAGCACGGGTGGAGCAAACGTGGCCATCTGTACGAGAGCCAACATGTCAAGTAGCCATAGGCGGCTGTATCGCGCTGAGCAGAACCCGACAAGTGAAAAACCCCCAAGTACTTGGATTCCGAAGTTGCCATGCTCCGGCGGCCATTTCGGGCTTCCCTGGCTCGGGCGGTGCGCGCGGCGGCCACGCCACGCCCTTGTGAGCTGAGCGGTACCCTTTCGCCCATTTTGGGTTCCGGGCTCCCTTGTAAAAGTATCCAACGCCAAAACAAAGGCACCCTTTTCATAAGGTGGTGACTGGGCTAGCAAGTTTCTGAGGGGCTGCATGTTCAGGGTTTTTTTTTAGAGGGGTGGGGTTTCGAGTGCATGCGTTTTGGGATGTTCTGGTTCTACAGATGGCCGAGGAGGTTTGGGGAGCTCATTGGCTTGGTGAGTTTGGGGTCGGCGTCTAAAGTTCACTTAAGATCCTGGCACACGGTAAAAAAACAATAAATACAAAGATTTTATATAGATGAACAAGAAAGTGTGTGTGTGTGTGTATGTACATATATATATATGGGTTCAGAGAAGCAAAATACGACAATGTGGAAAGCTACAAGGACAGACTCCTCAGGTCCTTGGTGCAAGAAGTCCGGTGTTGGAAGCACATTTAGGGTTTCGGGTTTAGGATGTAGGGTTCGGGTTCACGGTTTAAGGTTTAAGGTTTAGGGTTTAGGGTTTAGGGTTTGGGATGAAAGCTTGAATGAGCCCAGCAGGTAGAGGAACCTCACCCTCAAACAAACCCAAGGCGTACGAACTCTTCAAGCAGCATTCTGGAGCCACGCTTAGACATGTCAAGGAAAGGATCTCATCAGGGCATGCTTGCCCAAGGGTCCCCGACCCTGGTAACCGTGACCAGGGTTTAGGGTTTCGGGGCTTTGGGGGTTATTTTGGGGGTAAAGTTTTCGCCGAGGCCCGCCGTTGTGCAAGCTTTTCGCCGCAGAGCAGTGTACGAGTCCCAGCTGATGTGGGCGTGGGCTGCACCGGAACCCTCAAACCCCCTGAGTCGCAAGCCCTCAACACCGAGCCCTGAACATAAAACCCTGGATGGACCTTAGCCTTATAAACCTATATTATATAAACCCTAAACCCCGTTAAACCCGAAAGAAAAGTCTCAAAGCACACATAAATCCTCACCCGCCGCCAGACATACTCTCACACCCCACCAGCACCACCCCAAACTGCCCCCCCCCCCCCCCCCCCCCTAGATTCCTCTCATGCCTCGAAAACGCCTCAAAACTTGCTGGTTCTCTGGTTCTCCGTGGTTAGGGGTTTAGGGTTCTTCGTAGAGAGTTAGGGAATTGGGTTCTCTCTTGTGTTCTCGTGAGAATCCTCGTTCCCGAAATTTTCCAGTAAGAATCCCATGCCAGGCCAGACCTCCACTCTGCGATTGAGGCTAGCAGTTCCTCCGGAACGCTGCGCCACAGCCCCGGCTTAGGGTTTAGGGTTTGGGGTTTTGGGGTTTGGGGTTGTAGGGCATGGGGGTATGGTGAATGACTAGGCTTTGTCATACATTAGGGCTTACCCTAAGGGTCCATGTATCTCATGATTATACACTTGGGCCCAAAATAGGAGGTACTTTAAGGCCCAAGTATTCCCTCTTTAGACACATGGACCCTTAGGGCTTATAGAGGTTTTCTTAAGGCTAGGATTGATAGTTTCTGTCGGGCCAAGGCTTAGGGCACACTACGCAAGGTTTGCCTTTGCAAGACCTGCAGTCAAAACTCCTGGGGTTTAGGGTTTAGGGTTTAGGGTTTAGGGTTTAGGGTTTAGGGTTTAGGGTTTAGGGTGACCTATAGGGTTACGGGTTCAGGGGTTCAAGGGGGTATAAACCCTACACCCGAAGCCCAAGTACCTTCATAGAGGGCTTCAGGGCAGTTGAACGGGTACTAGACACCCTGTAAACAAACCCGAAGCCCGAAGCCGAAAGTAGTGCACACCAGGTTCCTGAGCTTAAGTATGACTTGCGGTAGCTGACCGAATAGTCGCTTAGATCTTGTTCGTTTCTCTTGACTTCGCTTCTTTATAGGCAGTTCTTTTCTGTGTGAGCAAAAGGAACTGAACAGCAACTTGGCGGGTCCTTTTCCTAGACAGCCCAGCATAATGTTTGGGGTTTGGGGAATGAAGCCTGCTTCATTCAGGGTTGATAGGCGTAAAAAAGCTCTGAGACTCTTTACAGTGACCTTCTTCCCTTGGCTTTCGGGTTGCTGGGTGTCTGAATCAGATAGTTACAAGTTAGGTTTCCAGAAACCTGCACCCTCAATCCCCCCCCCCCCCCGCCCGCCCAAGAACGCACCCAATCCACCTAAGCCCTGAGCCCTAAACCACACACGACCCACACGCTTGAGGCGAGACGTTGCGGAGAATCGCCGAGGAAGAGGCCTGGCCGATCCTGGAAGTGGGTCGTAAGTGCCAAACCTTCAACTTCCTAAACTCTCAGCTCTGTAAACCCTTGAACTCTAGAAACCCTACTGCAACCCTATAACTCG